TTCCATGCACAAATTCAATTAACCGAAATCTCTTTCTGGTTACACTTTCTTTGGGCCACCGAAAGAGGCGGGTTAAGTGGCCTATCGAGTATTTCTGTGGCGTGCAAATCATTTATGTAAATGTCAGAGACACAGTTATGGGCATTATATTGTATATTTGTATATTGTCCGGTTGCTACCGATTTTCGGTAAGCGAACAATACGACGTGATTGAGTCTGCAAAAAAAAAAAAATCCGTAGGAAAACCTGATTTTTACCTCTATCATGAATCACTAAACAAAGTCGTGAAGCCAAGAATAAAGAAAAAAAAAAACACTCTAACAATGTTGAATTGGCCATAAAGCATGAGAAGAATTTGTTTATTTTCTTGGAAATATTTTTTTATAAAGTTCTTGCAAGAAATTTAATAATTTTGCAATTTGTTTTAACTCTTAAATGTACTATTTAATTGTGGCATACATAAAAACTGGTTTTTGATCTAATTTGGAGAGCTGCTTTCCATTCCGTTTTATAGTTTATAAATTATAAATCAGATTTATTCAATTTATATTATTTTCTTGGAAACTTTTTATTTATCTTTGTATGCCAAAAATCTAGGTATAAAGTTTGACCTTGTTGCTGTTTTCTTTTATTTTTATTTGTATCTATTTATATGTATGAAAATTACAAAGGTAATTTTTTGATATTTTCCACAGAAATAAATCTATTTTCTGGCATATTTATCGTGCTTTTTATTTCATTCTTTTAATGTTTATGCATTTTACTAAATATTTAAACAACAACGTACATAGTTTGGCCTGGTTTTGGTGGCAATATATTTCCATTACTTGACTTTTATTTACTTTATATTCTGCTCAACTCCCTGCCGCATTTATTATTAGTTTTTTTTTAGACTCTACTCTTTTTGAACTCTATGCAAATCCCCTAGACAAACACTTGGTAAGCCTTCGAAGCTTAAAACTAACAGCAGACACTAGCAGGAAAATCTCCGAAAACATAATAGTGAAAACTGTGGGAAAAAGGGGGAAAATGGTATAACAAATAGGTTGCAAAACGCTGTCTAGACGTGCAATTTTGGTCCTGACATCACGGAACCTCCTCTGCTGCTCCCGAGGCAAATTTTCCGCTTACACACACACTAACAAACACACCTACACACACACACTACCAGGACAGACACACTTTGAGGGTGTGCCGGCTGCTGTCTGTGGATTTTTCGGCTCTGAATGAAAACTACCCCCAAAATGCGGAAGGCATAAAATCCATCGATATCCGAATTGAATTGAAATCAGCAAAAAAAAATAACTAGATCGAGCTGAAGCGTGGGGAAAAAGCAGCTGAGGTCAGCTAAAATTTCGCATTATGCAGTTCTTTTTTTTTCATTTTAAATCCCTGGAAATACAGGTAAGCTCTGGTTGGGCGTGCCAACGCCCTGGCCATTAACCAAGGGAACTGAAACCATACTGGAAACAGCTGTTCAAGCCAATAAATGGGGAATCTCATCAGTTGTGTGGAGATTATGGCAAAAAAGTCTGTTTTTGGTACATTAAGAAGTGATATCACGTATCAAATATACAATTCGAAATAGTTTATAAAGAATTCAACTAAATATTAGTGTATAAATGCAACAAAATGTATTTTTCGCTATCAAAATATTTGTATTAATTAGAAATTTAATTGTTTGTATGAAATAATTCTAAGAAACTTCTAACACTATTTATTGTATGAACAAATTAATTAATTTATGTCATCTTTTATATTATTTTTAAGCCAATATCCTAGAAATTATGTATACCAAATTCGACTACCAACAGAGGAAAAACTAAATAATAATAATAACTTCGGACATGGTACTGAAAAACTTTGGAGCTCGATGGTTTGAAGTGGAATGTGGAGCCTCCGAGAAACACAGAACAGAAAAACAACTAAGAAAACAAAAACAGCAGCGGCGAGCGAGAAATATCCGAGAAATATATACTATATTGCTTTGGGGCGCACGCTGGTCGTGCTCATATGGCAGCGATTTACATAAAACCCGCAAAACCAGTTTTATTTTTTTTTTTTCCTTTATAAAGTTTCAAGTTCCAGCTTAGCCCGAGGTGGAAGCGAGATGGCGAGAATGAGGGAAAGAGAGGGAGGCCTATAAGCGCGCGTTCTTAAAACATTTGCCTGCACTTTGGCTTATGGGAAGCAATTTGTAAATTTCTCACTGCTTGAGAGCATTTGTGTGGATTTTCTTTTGGTTAACTACCGATGACATTGAAATAATTAATTGACATGGATAAGCTAACTCGGATTGGATATCTAATTAGAAAATATAGTGATTTTCCCAACTGGAAATAGGGTTAAAGATTCCAAAGATCTAGACTGGAGAACTTTATTCTCATTTGTTTAAAGGAATCAAATTAAAAGAACGAATCAATTCAAGGAGGTAGTAGGTGAACAATTTAATGGGTTAATAAAATTAATCTAAAATTATATCGTGATTAATAACAACAATTTTATTTGTTAAGTAACAAATTAGGAAAAGTATTCTATTAAATTCTTTAGGGATAAAACGCAGGATTTTTTAGAAGTTTCGCTTATTTTAGGTAAAAAGGAGTAACATTTGCCTCTTTAACATTATCGAACCTTTCTAGAAACCTCTTAAAGAACCAAAATGTAATAAAATACTACGAAAATGTACTTAATTTTGAAACACTAAAATATTATAGTTTTATTTAAAAACGAAACCAAAGCTTTCCCTAATAATTTTGTTGTTTTTAATAGAAAGTATATAATTTTCGGGTTCTGTTAAGTCAATAAAATTCTATTAATCTCAGCTTAGCTCCTCAGGAAACGAAAACTATAGAGATAACATTTCTCTTTCGAGAAAAACAAAAACTCACCCATATCTCGGTACCCCAACTCATGTTGGAGTTTTGCGCTGCGCTTTCCGATTCGGCCAGTTTGATGCTGCTGCTGCTTCTGCTTGTTCCGCTTGCCACTGTTGTTGTCGTTGTTATTGTTGTTATAATAATAATCCAAAGAACGATGAGGAGATAATATAATCCAAAGAGGAACACCGAAAGGGGGAAGGCAAAGGAAGGAAGAGTAAAAGATGAGAATTTCTGCTGCTGTTGTTGCTGTTAGCTGGTTTTTTATGTATTTCCCGCAAAGGTTAATTAATTTGATAGTTGCTTTTTCGTTTTCATTTCGGTTTCTGTTGGTTTCAGCGTTGCGCGACGCGATGTTTAATTTTCTATGAAAAGAGAGCAATTCGGCAGTCTTTTTTTTTTTTGTTTGGTGGTTGGGCAGGTAAGAAAGCATGTAAAACCAACAAAAAAAAATTGAGTGAATGCAGACGTGTCAGTGCAGCAACGCCGACGTTGGCAGAGACGGCCGCCGACAGCGCCAGGTAGAAAGCAATTTACAAGAATTTAACTAACCAAACGAGGAAATTGTTATTAAACTTAACGTAGTAGTTTTAAGAAAAAAGCAATTATGGAAAATTGTATGCACTGGTATTTCTGCTGCAGCGGCGGCGCAAAGAGAGGGAGAGAGAGAGAGGGAAATGCAAAATAGAGAGTTGGCAACTTCAGTTGAGAGTGCAACTTGCATTTCATAATTCAGAAAAAGAAGAGAGGACAATTGGAATTGCAACTATTGTTGTATTTACATAATTTCGCACACAACATCACACAGGCACTCACACATACACATACACACAAGTAAACACAATTGCCGAGTGCACGCACTTTTCCGCTTCATTTTTTCACTCTTTTGCTACCCTTTCCACCGTTTCTTTTTTTTGTGTTGTTAGTGCGAACTGCAAGTCAATTTCCTTGCTCATTTTTTGTTGTTTTATCAAGCGCCTGCACTTTGGTATGCGTCATAATTCTGGCGACATTTGCGCAAACACACACAACAATATTCGAATATACACCCGCACTCACACAACGCAAGCATTTGTTTCTCCTTTTGGCAAACGAAAAAGACGAAAACTATCCGCTCGTTGCTTCTTCTCCTTCGGCATAAAAAAACAGTTTGGCTACTAGGGGTGCAAGACCATCGATGACAACATCGATGCATCGATGCTTTTCGAATTCTTTTAGTCATCGATTATTTTTGACTATCGATGTTTCTGTGCCTCCACCATTCAGAGAAGAAGCAAACCAAAGATTTTTTATTTTTAAATTATTTTAAATATTAAGTAATAAATAATAAATAATTTAAAAAAAATTTAAATAAAACAGCATAGCCCCGACATAGTAAATACACTATTGTTTAACAATAAAATCACAATATTTTATATAATGTTTAAGACCTTTATAAGAAATGATCTCAGTTATCAGTTTTCTAAGTTTGTTTTACGATGCAAATTATATTTTTTATTTGAAATTCAACTCTAAGTTTGATTTTCGATAATTTAATATATATTGAAATTCTTAAAAACATCAATGATTCGGCTGCAAAACACCGATGTCTTCTTAATTTGGATGTTTTTGCACATCTATTAACTAGAGGTGGACACAAGCGCACCGATAGAATCGTGTAAAAACGCATTAGCCTATCGAAATATCGTTGAAGGTATCGATGTTAGAGCGGCTCTTCGGTAGTTTGCGAAATATCGCGATGGAACAAATATATTTTGAAAAAGGGAAACAAGTGTTATTATTTTTTCAAATAATTGCAAAACACCAAAAGAACTCAATCCTCTCTAAGCCCTTATAAACATTTTATATTGTTTTTTGCTAAAATGAATTACAAATTGATTATATTTAAAAAATTATATATACATAATAATATATTCAATAAAGAAATAGATTTTTTTCCTAATAGAAATAAACTTTATAAATGCTTATTATAAATTATATAATTTTTATTTATATTACTATTTAGGAAAACAATCTATTTATTTATTGAAAATATTATTTTATACATATTTATTGAAATATTTGTACCTTGTGCCGGCTTTCAGGACATAACGATACTATCGAATAAAAGTTGGTTTTCGTTTCTCTAGAAAACAGCTGTTAGTTTCTGGATCGCATCAACAAATTGTTTTGCCTAGTTTTATTCAATTAAAACCGACAAGTTAAAGGCTTTAAATATTAAAATTAACTAATTACTAGCCGAAACAATCAACTAGTGACAATGCCTACCTACGAACTGGCACTCGTGCTGCGTCAATTGCCCCGCGTGAGTTGCCTCGTGCGGACCAACCGAGGATTACATAAAACCTGACCAAAATCTTTTATTTGCCGGCAGCCGGAGCTGATATCCGTGATCCGGCGCACCGCAGAGGCCATTCTGGACAAGGGCGGCATCATTCGGAAGCTGGAGAATCTCGGAACGCGTGCCCTGCCCCACAAAGTCAGCGAACACGGCGTGGTTCACCGCGAAGGCACCCACTTCACCATCGCCTTCGACACGGCGCCCACGCAGATCGCCGACTTGAAAGAAGAGTTTGGCCGCGACATAGACATCATCCGCCGGTACGTGTTCAAGGTGCAGGAGCCCGAAGAGCACAAGTGCACACTGCACGAGGAAATGTTGCCGCCCGCCTACCGCAAGGACGTGAAGGAGATAGTGGAGGCCGCGAAGAGAACGCAGAAGAAGAAGTACAACTACAACTCTGGACTGGATTACTATCCCTTCCAGAAGTAGATTCAATAAAGCTGTTAATTTGTATTCAAAATCCATGGACGTTCGATAAGAAGGGGAATCCGCAATTGGTGGCTATTTAGAAGCTTTCTTACGAAATTCTCCTGTTATCGAGGCATTTCGCACAATGTTTGTCTTTGTTTAGTTTATGACAGCCCAATCGGGCACTTATCAGGCATTTTGATAACGCGTCATATAATTCGACCATCAATAGAACGTAGATTGGGTGGCAAGTAGTGCCCCAAGAAACGTTGAATAGTCCACTCGCAATTCGTCTTAAAGAAAAACAGTTTGAGAAATGGCACCTCAAATTCGCCCACTCACGCCGGAGCTGCAAAAAGCGGCTAACGAGCAGCTGAAAGAGGATCCCACCCGTCTGGAGGCTGATCTACAGGCCTTTAAGACCTGGATTGAGCAGCAGCCGCATTTGAATCCGCGTATGGACGATCAGTTCCTCGTGGCTTTCCTTCGTGGGTGCAAGTTCAGCCTGGAGCGCGCGAAGTCGAAGCTGGACAAGTTCTATACGCTGCGCACCAAGTATCCGGAGTACTTCACCGTGACTAGCACGACGGAGGGCAAGTTCCGGGAAATTCATCAAACGGGGTAACTATACAGATCAAAGATTGTGGCTAATTTCATTCCATTTGTGTTATCTAAAGAAATACCTCTATCTTGGATATTTTATCTTAAAACCGATAGTATTTTTGTTCCTAAATGTTAGAAAATTACACTTATGTAAATCTCTCAATAATTTATCGCACAATCAGGGCTATCATCTACCTACCAACTCCTCTGAATGGTAATGGACCCCGCATTGCTATGTGGCGCATGGGCCTGTGTCCCGTAGAGAAGTATCACATGCTGGAGTGCATGATGGTGGCCCAGGCAATGCAAGAGATTGCCATTTTTGAAGACGATTACGCAAACGTCCATGGTGTGGTCTTCATTATGGACATGAAGGGAGCTACGGCGGCACACATGTTTCAGATGACGCCCTCGATGGCCAAGAAGTTTACCGTCTTTTCGGAAGAGGCTCTGCCGCTGCGCCTGAAGGCCCAGCACTTTATTAACACCATTGCCGGCTTCGAGCAGCTCTTCAATATGTTCAAGCCCATGATGTCCAAGAAGATGCAGTCCCGCCTCTATGTCCATGGCAACAAAATGGATCTGCTCACGGAGCAGATTCCGTTGAAATATCTGCCCAAGGAGTATGGAGGCGAGAATGGAACAGTACCGGAAATAGTCGCCGATTGGGAGAAGAAGTTGGACGCGTACAGTGATTTCTTTAAAGAAAACGCCAACTACGGCACAGATGAGAGTCTGCGTCCGGGGAAGCCCATCGATTTCGAGGGACTCTTTGGCATCGAGGGCTCATTCAGGAAGCTCAATGTTGATTAGACTTCATCCACTGTGTGCCTACAATATGAATTTTGTTACTTTACATGTTTAATGTTTTAATAATATCAAAAGGAGGATTTCCTATCATCTGTAAAAGCATATCCTTCGCTGCCATTTGGTTGGCGTGGATTCGAAAGTCTTCCGGCGACCCAGTGTCTTCTCTAGGTAATTCTGGATCTGCAATTCCACGTCGGAGCGCCATTTAAGTTGCGGGAAGAGCGGAAAACCATCACCCGCTCTCTTCATTCGTCTTACAGCAGTTTGATAGCACTTCCAGGGTTGCGGCTCCACCACCAAGAGTTCAGCTATGTCCGATAGCTTCTCAAGAAACAATTGAAGACCCTGATCATGGTGATTCAGGTGAATCCACATGGTTATGGAGTAGCAGCAAACAGCATCGAACTTTTTCCGTCGTATGGCGTTTAGGTACCTCGTTATGGAGGCAAAGGCAGTCTCATTTAAGACATCCAGGCAATTGTAGCTGATATAAGTATTGTATTCGTTCTCCGCCAGAGCACGTTCGATGAGACGTTCGTCTATATCGACGCCAATTATTGTCACAGGACGCTGCAGTAGCTGCTCCAAGTGTTTGTATAGGAGTTGGGTGAAAACGCCTGAATTGCATCCCACATCTAGCACCACGTAGGGACTATTTTCGGGGGTTTCCTGGTCATCCTCCACAGGTGGCAGCCATATATCCTTGTCAGGCAAAAGTTTAACCCGCTCCGAGGCCGAATTGAATTGATAATAGTTCATAAAGTTTCCGTATTGAACGGCGCCGGGATCGTTGTTTCGGATGTTCATTTCACATAGATTGTGTTCTGTTGCTTTTTATTAAGAAAAAAAAGAGTTAAAACAGCTTATTGTTGATAAACACATGAATTTTAAGAGTGGTCGCGTTGAATTTAGTAAGAATTGCTTAATTTCATCGAAACGGAATTGAATTTTAAGAGTGGTCGAGTTGAATTTGGAAAGAATTACTTAATTTTGCCGTAGCTGGTCACACTGCTGAAAAAAAGGGAAAAGCGATGTTTAAATATCGATAAACTTACTATCGATGTGAGCAGAAAGGAGCTTTTATGCGGGTAATTTAAATTTAAAGAAGAGAATTCCAACTTCGGAAGAACAAAATTTAAAATTGAATTTTATTTCGCCTAAATGAAAATAAAGTAAGGAAAAATTGTATTGAAATACAAATCTAAAAAGATTGCTAACAATCATTTTTCCAATTATTTCACCAAGTCAATATAAAACACCCGCATCTTTGTATTCATCATCTTTTGCATTTATTTACTGCGCTCATTGGTTTATATTTTCGCCGAACGCCCTTTCCAGCTGCTTGTACGGCTCTAACAATTTCCTTACACTTACAAATCAATAACATTTTGCTTTGGTGTGTAAATTAACATTTTAAACTATAACTAAAATGTACAAAAGATCGCGTCAATGAAATAATGTACAACAACAAAATATACACAATGTTTCGTTATCGGCATTTCGATTTAACATACTCTCGTCACAATTTTCTTTCGTATTTGGCGGTTAGGATATTAACAATGTCTTTATCCAGGCACCTGGACACCCCGCTGGCTGAGCCTGGGAAACTGAATTCGACCCACTAAGGGAACTAGGCAAAATTGCAACAGTCTGTTGGGAACCCGGCCAGATGGAGGCGTTCAGGTGCGCGGCCAAATACGCCCTATTGCAACCGTTTTAAGCACGATCTTGAAACTTGACACTAGCCTAGATTATGGGTTCCGCCACTCCATTGCCCGCCCAAGTTAATTAATTCTTATTATTTATGGTTAAGAACTACTGGAAATGTTATTTGTTTTCGGTTTGATCGCTTTGGTTATATTTTATTTCTAGGATCTTAGGATCTTCTCCGTTCGAAAGTCGCGAAGCGTGCGAAGATTGAAGTTTTTGAATTTTGAATAGCGATTTCCCATTTCCGATTTCCGGCCCGTCGTCAAGTTTGGCAAATTGTTTAATAAACTCTACACGCGATTTGTTTTGTAAAATTCTAAATGCTACTTAATATGGACTTTGAAAAAGGTTTATACTTTTAAGTTGTCATGCTAACAAGTTGTCAAGTTTCTAGGTTTAGTTTAAATAGCATATATGATTTCATTTTTGTATAACCGGAAACGGAAATGCAGCTGCATCTATCGGCTGTCGGATTTGCTGTGAATTGTCTCTTGTCTACGATCAGAATTATGCGTACAAGTTATAGCTATATTTAAGTAAAAGTATTTATATATACGTGGTAAGCTCATAAATACACAATAATAATCGTCAATCAATGCAATCAATCAATCATAATCGGATGCGCTAAAAACTCTTAGCTTAGCTTATTAGTCTAGAAATATGAATATGTCTTTCGGCGTGTGAGTGTGTTTCTGAGTGGCTGTGTGGTGTCTCTGTGTGGTTGCTGTATGATTAATATAACATTGCAAGTTATATATGTATATTTTAATTTGTTTTTGTTGAGTTTCTGCGTTTTTTAGTGGTTTGTGGTGGTGCGTAGCGCCAACCGGGCCGTAAATATGCAACTATATGGCAAAGAGAGAGAGTCTGGGAAATGGCTCAATGCAATTACAACCAATTTTATTACTTTTGCGGGATCTTGCGGATTACGGATTGCGGATTGCGGATTTCGGATTACGGTTTGCAATAGGAAGGACTAGGACTAGGACTAGGACTAGGAAGGATTGTGGATAGGAGGGCAATCATTTAATTGGGGATAATGAAAATCTAAATCTAACTCTAGTCATCTGGGTCCAACCCGATTAGCTCTGCTTGCAAACGGCCCTTAGTCTTACAACAAATGGTTAAGCAAAATACTCTCAAAGCGATACGGAATTGCGGCGACATACTGGTCATGATCAGAATTTTCCAAAACGAATTCAATATGCCGATCCAGACGACGGCGAAATTGATAAGAGTACTTTGGATAACGTCGCCCGTGACCACCTCATACAGACGCAACGAGATCCATGGCAGCCAGGACACCCAGAATGCAAAGACTAATGCGAATGACATCATATGACTAGGGTTCGATAAATTTTCAGCCAGAGCAGTTGCATATTCTTTATCGTGAATTGGCTCGCCGGACCTAATCTTACGCATCATAACAAAGATGTAGCCGTAGTTGTGTACGATCGAAATGAGGCTGGGACCTAAGACTAATATCGCCAACGTGACCGTATAGGCCGCCATATTCCCCCAGTCCAGCATGCAGATGTGCGTCACATTATTCTCGATCGGTTTCGAGTAGCCCAAAATTGGGGGGCAGCACAGCAGGGCCGCCGATATCCAGGTGAACACCATCCAGCACTGGCAGCTGTTTTAGGGATAGAATATAATATAAAAAATAAGCAATTAAAGATTGTGTATTTGTGTATAATTTTATATCCCAAAAAATAATATTTTAAATAATAGTTTTCCTCCTTACCGCGTCTTCGTCTGCACCGTTTCATAGCGAAGAGGCTTACGCACTGCTAAATACCGATCCACCGAGATCCACATGAAGGTGTAGACGGACACCGCCCACAGAGTGACCTCCAGGTAACCGGTGAATCGGCACACAATATCGCCGTACATCCATTCTCCGGTGAGGGCGGGATACACGGAGAAGGGCACCACCAGAAGTCCGCAGAGCAGATCGGCAATGGCCAGTGACAACAGGTAGTAATTGATCACCTCTGTGGGGCCTGTGGGCACAAAACCATTTTAATAAATATGTTAAAAGTTCTTAAAAAAAATAAGAAAAACAATAAGGAATATAATAATTTACTAGGGATATTCTATTTTATTTAAAGGCCTCTTTGAAGATCAGGAGAAATCAATAGAACTCAGTTTATATTATAAATTTGCTGAGAGCTTCAAATTACTTCAAGGATTAAAGTAATAAATTTAAATTAAACATAAAACTTATTATAAAATAAATATACATCTAAGAAAATCAATCTGATTTTGATAAATAGACCTATAACTAAAACTTTTTGGGGGACTACAAATAATCGGAGGTTGTTCATGTCTTCTATTCTAAATAAAAAAACATGTCTGCAATCTACTTCATTCCTTTTTTACATTCACATATGTCATACAATTTTCATAAATTAAAAATGTTACATGATAATAATTTAATAAATTGATGGAAAGTTAGGATAATGATATTTTTGGTTGTAAGAAAACGTGACCAAACCTACGCGCAAGAAGATCCTGTTGAGAGAATGAAACCGTGATTATTTAGCGTGTAACGTACCCTTGAAGTTGGCATAGGTGGCGATGATGAGGAGGTTGGACAGGACAATGGCCACGCCCAGTATGGATATGAGCACCGCCTTGGTGAGGGCCTCCAGCTTGGAATTATCCTGCAGGTAGCTCATTTCCTGCATTTTTGCGGGCCGGTGGGCGTGTGAAAGTGGCGCTCCTGTGCCGAATGGGGGCTATATTCCCCTCTCCTAATGTATCCTGATGGCCTTCTGCTATATCACCTGCTCCTTTGGCGTATCCTTTCTCGCCCCTTTCGTTCCGTTTTGAGCGGGGTGCTCCTTCGCGGGCTGATTGTTATGCAAAGGCCAGTGGACGTGGACGTGACCGTACTTTACTTCCGGTCATGGCGGCTGCCCATGCAATTGTCCTGTGTGTGTCCTATGTTTGTGTTTGTATGTGTTTCCTCAGTGTGTCTCGGTCGGTGTCGGCCTCTAGGTGTATGTGTGTTCCCGTCTGGGTGACGCGAGCGCTCGTTGGTATGTGTGTGTGTGTGAGTGAGTGGCGTCCTTTATTGTGCAACGGCGCCTGCACACGCGAAGGTCGTCGGAGTCCTTGGCGCTGTGTGCTCTCTGTGCTTTTTTTTCGCCTGGCGCCAAATTTGTATAAATTTTCTACTGCCTACTTTTCGGGCTGTTCGCGGTGCTGCCTACTTTCTGGCGCTGCGCCAAGCATTTGATTGTTACACACACTCCTGGCGCCGTGGTTAAGGTTAAGGATAAGGTCCTGCCGTGTGTGTTTTCTGTATTCGGGGTTTTTCCTATTACTTTTCCTCGTGTGTTTTCGCTTGTGTGTGTGTCTCTGGGTTTGAAGCTCGTTTAAAAATTTTGTTCGGATTAAAATCTTACGTTTAAAATGCTACTAATTGCGTACAATTTGCTCAAAGTTGAGAGAGAGAGAGAGGATCGTAAACCGTTTCGCCTTCGACTGTTTCTAGTTAAATTCACAACGCTCTTTTTCGCTAAACTTGTAATGAACGTTAAACGGTTATTTGGTATAATATATATCTTCGTTTTCTGTTAATAATAATTTGCTACTAGTTTAAATATCGATTTAAAAATGTACGCATTTCAAACTCTCAAGTGGAAGAATAATGATTATTATTATTATTAGTTTTTAATTTGTAATAATTACGCGGTTCTCTCGGGTTCGTTCACGGTTGTTCTTGGTGTTTCTATCGTGTTTGTTTATATTTTTCTTTACTATAATAAAAGCACAGCACAAATGGTTTTGTTGTTCTTGTTTGTAAGGCTTCCGATGTGCTACAGTTAAGTTTAAAATATATTTCGTCAATAGTTCGGTTTGTTGGTGTTGGGTTTTTTGTGTTCGCTGCTTGGTGATTGTGATTATCCTTTAGCTTGTAAATTCTGGCTGTCCTTGCTGCTGCTCCTGCTCCTGCTGATTCCTTCTGTGCATTGCCCTTAGTTTTCCAAGTTTTCCCGCTGTCGTTTTAAGCTAATTGTGCGCATCTGGAAGAGGGGAAAAAGGGGAAGCCATTGAATGCCTGCTGCGTGCTTTATAAATAGTTTGCAGAGTCTAACATCTTGAGCCAATCAATAAATTATCCCACATACGGCAGGCTCGCAGGACGACGGAAAAAGCCTTTTAGCTGCACAAATGCTTTACATAAGCGTGCTTATCCCTGGGCCCGTCACTTGCCCGCTGTGAAAAAGTCAACCAAAGCTGAACAGCCACCCAAAGCCGACCCGTAACCACCCACCCACAATTCCCGCCTGCAATGACCCACTTTGCCGTGCCACTTGACACAGTTTGAGAGCCATCGCTGTCACTGGCCGGCTGCTCAAACTGCGTCTGTCCCTCGAGAGCCTGGGAACTGTTAAAAAATCTCAAGGGTCTCCCTTCCTGGGCGCTTTTTGCGGACCCTCCTCATCGATCACGCCCACTCTATCTATTTTTAAAGCTCTCATTCGAGTCGCTGTTGTCAATTCAACTATTTTTAGTTTCAGTTTCTGATTATTTATAGAGCGAAAGGGGTCTGCTGTGATGACTTTTGTGCTGGCTTTTGTCTATAACTTGGATTATTTTTAAAATATTGTTTTTGCTTAAGTTTAAAGGCTAGTATTTCAGCTTCAAAATATTAATATTAAAGTCCTAGGAAGTCGTAGAGTTTTTTATTTATAGTTATGTCTTAATCCTGGTTTGATTTTCATCATTTTTTATTATATTCTATATACGCTTTTATTTTGGAAAATATGGTCAAGGTATTTAATTATATGATTCTTATTGTCATCTATATATTATAATCATTTATACATTTCTGCATTTTTTAAGCCTTTCTCCTATTTTTCATATTTGCTAAATTAAGTCGAGTAGAAACTAATTAATAATTTCATATTATAATTAAATATTATAATTTAATTTAATAAATTATATAAGCAATGAACTTAACATATTTTTAATTTATAAAAATATGAAATGAACATTATTTTATTCTTGTATATTTCGAATAATTTAGCATTGACTTAGCTGTTAAGTTATTCTTTCATTCCATTCCATTCCATTCATATTTTTAAGCTGTCTCAAAATTAAATTGCTATTTAATTTAATGAAAAATATTCCTTATTTATTATTTAAACATATATCAACACCCATTTTAGCTACCCCAACTAATGTGCCAACACCGATTTATGATTCGCAGCCTCCGTCAGCAGCGTTTACTACGTCATTGTGCCATTTTCCAACGCAGACACAAACACAAACACAAACACCATTATCAAATGCCATTAGGCAGCGGCGGGGGTGTACCCGGTGCCAAAGGGGCAAGGGGCAAGGGGCAAGGGTCGTTGTGTGAGGTAACAAGTTTGTCATTTACGCCAGTCGCTCAACTTGGTAATTTAATTAACGATAACGGGGCAAGCAAGCTGCGGCGGAACGCTCTGCGTTCGACATTTAGCCACTGGTCGCCGCCAGGTGATAAATATCAATGAATTGCACTGCACTGCACTCTGGTGCTCAATCTCCATCACACCTGATTGTCAATCATTACGTAAGCAACTGCAGCTGATGGGGGAGAGAGGTGATTGGGCCAAATGAGACTTCCTGGCCGACAAACAATCCAAAAGCCACTCGACTCTGGCCAACAGCAATTACGCTGAAATAACTGTTATTGCTGGCAACTTAGCCGGAACTGTCCTCATCGTAGTCGTCGTCCTTAATGAGTACTGAATATGGACTCAAATCCGGAGAAATGTGGGGTTCAGCGAACCCGGAGCTCTGGCTTCTTGGCGGGAGAATCAATGAGCACAGTCCGGTGATTAATTATGTAAATATTTTCATTGTTCTTCGAGGGGATAAAACAAAATACGTTAACAAGCTGATGAGATTTTGATTGCCGCTGGGACGCAGCGCAGCTCATTAAGCGCGTGCCATAATTAAAAATAATATGTGGCCTGCTTTTCAGGGCCAGCTTTCTTTTTGCCTTAAGGGTATCCTTTTTTGGTTACAATTCGAACTACAGAAGTTGGGGGTTTAAGAAGGATCAAAAAATATGAACTCCTAATTCAGAGACTAAGTACTCATCAGCTTATAATAATAGAACTATTAGGGAAGCATAGTTGATTTTAATACAAAGATAAATATTAGTTTAAGCAACAATAGCCCTTAAAATATATTTTCAAAAGCGATGTTAGCGATTTTTCTTTAATACAAGTTGACAAATAATTAAATCTCGCTGACCTTAAACATATTTCGTTAAGCAAATATCGTGGTTTATACAATTTTAAAGTTACAATTAATGTAATTAAAAAGGAAAATGTAAAAATATTTATCCGAGTAGCGAAAGAAAGTGGGTAATATAAAAATGACTCATAAAAATCATGATTAATTTTTTAAAAATAACTTTAAAAATTGTTTAATATATTTAGGTTCCATAAATAAATACATCTCCCTCCTATAAGACTATTTCTAATACAAAGCCTTACTCATAGTTTGGCTTAAAAAGGTTTTAAAAAATGTTCCTGTTCATCTTTCTTGCTTAAAACATTTATAAAACATTTGAAGCTTCCATAAATTGCCTCTTCTTGTTTTAAAAATTAGGTTATAAAATTTATTACTTAATTAAGTGACAATTTTCCAACAAAGTTAGATATATCCTGCAAAGCTTATAAAACATTTAAATTTTTAGCCAGAAATTAAGCTTTAATCCCTCTACCAACCATTATTTTTTTTAACCATAATATTATTTATTATAATTACACCCCCGAAACGCACTGTATGTTTGCACTCAACTTTTTGTTGTTGACCTCTATTCCCCATTCTTGTTTTGTAGATTTCCCGGCGTTTGAGCCCATAAAATATGTATCCCATGCGTGTTTACAATGCGACCACAAAAACATACACCCACAGAACTCCTTTTCCATCCTGCCAGACCGAAAGGATACGCAAACAGAAACGGATACCCATCGAATGTGTCACGGGATCCTGCAGAGAAGTGCCGTAAAATCGTAACCAAATGCCATGGTGGCCAGGTGGCTGGGTGAGAATGGAGAAGGATGTGCCAGGCCAGTCTCTTTCATTCTCCCTCGTGGCGCTATAAATAAACTTTTCGAGGGGCACATTTGTTTGAAACAAATTGCGAAACACCGTCGCAAAGGCCAAGGCAAGAGCTGCAGGCCCAAGAAGGATACTCTTTTGATGACGTTAGCCGATGGCAGCCCCTCGCTGGATGCTGGATGCCAGATGGGTGGTGGGCACTGCGGTGGCTGTGATGGCGACAAGGCTGCTGTGGATGGGCGCCAGCGCCACGTCGTCATCATCATCGTCGTCGTTGTCGTCGCCATCCACGTGGCTGCTGCTGGTCTTTACATAAGCATGACCTCACCTTGGTGCGATGCCTGCCTCCAGCTTTTTGTATTGTCTTATTATTTCTCACTGCGCTCTGCCATGTTTAATTCAGTCTGTTTACATGGCCACCTGTTTCGTCCAGTGCATAATTTATGCCTACGCATGTCAAATGTCGCATATGGCTGCACATTTTCGTCCTTGGCCACACTTGGCAGCTCCTGTCACTCAGTGGCTTAAGGACTTTCGCAGTCTTTGCTCCTGGCTCTTGGCTCCTGTAGCCTGTTGCTTTGCCACCGAGCAAAACCAAAAACCAAAAAAATAATGCCCGCAGGCGAAATGCAATTAAAGAGGCAGCAAACTTTCACTTCAAAATGCAACAGTTTCTATCACAGGAACAGGAAATTTGATAGTTTACTTGCAAGGGTAAAAGTTAAGGGAAAATATATACAAATCAGAGAGAATAATAGGTAAACGAACGATGTTGTTTGATTGATTTTATCGGGGATTAAATGAGAAAATATACATGGATCATGGATTCTTGTATTGATTTTTAACTTTTCTGAATTATAATTAAATATCGGGTTATAACCTCTTGCTTTAGAAAATTTATTGAGAAATATAAATCCTTAACGACTCTACTATCGATTAATACTGCAGATCCTGGCATATAAGTTTAAGAAATAGGGTTTTTAAATCTTTTAAAATGTATCTTCAATTATGAAAAGCCATTTTTTAGAAGACTAAATATTTGTTTTTCTTTTTATGTGACATTTTGTAGGCTAATTTTTGATACATTTTAAGAGTTTTGGAATCCCCTAATGATTTATTAATCTATAAGGTTACAACCTACTCTACAACTATAAGGTTACAACCTATTAGTTAAATGACACTCGCTCTTTCCATCAATTTACTACTGAAGCCTACTTTGAATTAGTGTAAATATATCTAAAAAAGAGATTTTAAAAATTACTCAAAAATTTCCTTTCCACATACCAATTAATTCCATTCCTAGTAAACCTCAACCAAATAACAAAAAACTAAAATAAACCCAAATACAATACTTCGCCTAAGAAGAAAGGTCATAAAAAAATCCAATTTCCCTACGAAATGCCTTGAATATTTTCGTCCTCGAAATGTTGGCGGGGGGTGCGTGATTGGGCCAACTTAAATTCACGTGCTACCCGCTGTTATGGCCATAAACCGCATTTGTGAAATGCCGTACCACATGTCGTATACGCAATGCTTTTATTTGGGCCAATTTTGCGTTTGCGCGGGGGGCTAAATGGGGCGCACAGAAGGAAGGATGTGGTGGGCGGGGCCAAGGACAAATAGCGACTTGGCGACGAGCGCGCTCTTGTTTACTTTTAATATTGTTTTATTCCCCTCAGAATTTTGCTAATTTAGATTTCCTCCCTTGGACCCAAGTTTTTGAATGTCTTGAATGTCATAAGTATCTAGCGGAAAAAATTCAAATGTTATAGCAAATGCAAGGTTTTATTTTTCTGCAGATGTTTGCAATTGGCAAGGTCACAGTCATGGGCGGCCGCCCTTCTCTGTTTAACACACTCCCCTTGGCAACGTGACGTATGCGTAATAAATAAGACTTGCGGCACTCGGCGGTAAGGACATTTGTATTGGCTCCTGAAACCGGCACACACACACACACACACATGCAAGCACACCCTCACACACAATCAAATACCGAACAATCGATCAATAAAAAAATCGAGAGAATGAAACGGCAGCAACAACACGGAATTCGTTTCAATGCTGCGACTTGACATTCAGCCAAGGCGTCCATTGTGGCAGTGGCAGTGGCGCAAAGCCAGTGGAGCAATCAATACGGCAATGCATCAATTTGTCATCCACGCTGCTGCCACTATTGTTGTTGCCGTCGTCCTTTTAAATGCCTGCAACTTGTTTATTTGTTGCTGTTATTTGCTGTCTGATTGATAAGCCAAAGGGAAATGGATAAAGCCAATGGCAAGCTGCGGGGGGATTGAAATAGTGGCATCATGACGATGCGGTTTCAATGCACACTCTAAAAAAACGGGAGGAAAGAGGAAAATATATAATTAACTTGGTTTATTAAAAAGTTTTTTTTTTCAATTAAAAGTAAATCAGGGAATGGGGAGGATTCCTTATAGCATAGATCTATAATTTGAGAAGCAGGTAAAGCTATATCTACCCTAGGCTTTATGAGTTAAATTATAATAAAGATAGGCTTTATAACATTGTTAATTTGTACCATAATAATTTTTTATTTTAGGAACCCGTTCGCATAGTTATATTGTTTATTATTAATTTAATTAATTTAATATTCTATTTTCATTGTTTATACTTACTTGAAAGTGTTCGTCATGAATAATTAATACATAACATAATATGATATACGACCTATAAGAATGTAAGTACCAAATTTGATAGCTCTACCTTTCATTCCTTATACATAATTCTAATTAAATATTCCTAAAACAATTATGGTAACTATGAAAAAATCTGGGAATAATTAAGTTATTTATAATTTATTTATAATCTCTGTTGTTTTACAATGAATTAAATTAAGGTTTTATCTTATCTAATCAGTGTATAATATTATATTCTTAAAAAGTGAAGAAAAAAGTAATTTGTAATAGTTAACATATGATATTATATATGTTGTGTAAAGTCAAGACCCTTTCTGGAACCCTTAAATACATTATTTTTATTTTCTTACAAACTATCCTATATATTTCTCTTTTATTTCTAGTACTTAATTTATAAAACAGATATATTTCTCTCCGTGAGCATAAGGTTTAGCTGTCGCTTTGCTACTTGTATTTCATTTGCAATTTATTGGCTCAATGTGCAAAACTGAAGCTAAAAGAGCTGCCAAGTCTGGCCTGGGATTGAGACGGAAGTAGCGATCAAGGTTTGACATTTAACCAATTTGTACACAGCAGCTGCTACAACACTCGAGGATACGAGTGTCCCTAAATCGGTATAAGCCAAGCCTAGGAGGTCCTTTTTACCCAACAATTAGTTGGCACTAGCCCAGTGCCACGCCCATCATAAATATATAAATCAAGGCGGGACCTGCCCACAACTAATTAGGAAGAAAAAAAACAAGAAACAACCGAACGCCAAACAGAAAGTTGCGATTTGTGGGCGCCTCAAGAGGGAGGTGAAAGGAAAAACCCTGAGATTGGTTGGAAAAATTCAAGGGGAAGGGAAAGAAAATTTAGGCGGCGGAATATTTAGGGTGTGTTGGAGAATTTAGGGTATGTGGGTGTGTGTGTGTCCATTTAGGCCGGCCATCGACCAGCTTTTTGTTTTGTTTTTCTTTCTCGCCTTTGGGCTGAAATGTTTTCTTTTCATTTGGCTAAATGTTGTTTTTCTTTAAGAAAAAAAAGTGATAGTTTTGGGGTATAAGTGATTGATTAGTGAAAATATAACAGCAAAGAAGAAAGTCAATAAAATATGCGTCTTAAGATATTACAAGAAAATAATATGTTATCTTTGGTAATATATTTATTTCTAATTAATTATAAGAGCATCTACTGGTCGCTATCAAGCAATTATTTCTATATAAATATATTTCGTTTAATTTGTTGTTGTTATTTTCAGACATTTAAATATAGCAACGCTTTTTTGTTTGCTTTATCTGATGTTTTTTCTTTTTTGTTGTTTTATTTTTTTCTGTTTGGCTCTTTTACTTGTTATTTGTTGTCAAACGCACAAGCCGCCTAAAAATCCATTTTCACTTTCACTCTCACTCTTTCCAAAATATCTGTTTTTTGTGGGTGCCACAAATGCCAAAAATGCAGACACGTTGCGGTCATAAATCAAGAAAGATATTAACTTGAATATTTCAAAATTATTATTACTACATTTTTGCAGAGTTTTTAAGGGAGGGAATTATGAAGGAAAAGGTTTGTTTTCTTTAAAATGTCCCAGAGAATAAACAAACAATTTAAGTGATTAGTAGAATTAGAAGATAATAATTATAATTAGAATTATAACTAGAAGAAATATCTAGGATTTTTCTGTTTTAAACGACTATTTTATAGAATATTTAATAAGACTAACAATTAAGAAATTTTAAATAAATCATTATAATTATTGCTTTAATATGTTTAAAAAATTCTTTAACCAGAATTCTTAAAGAAATACCCTAAATAAATACCCAAAAATCAAATTTCCAGACAATCCTTTAACATTTGAACCGTTGGATTTAGTTCAAGGACTTCAAATCCTTTTACTTTTTTCCTATGCATGCAAATGTGTGGCCGGCAGCAGCTGCAACACTTTACTCTCTCTCTTCATCGGACTAATTGAATACGTGGCCCGAAAGACAAAGCCGTGGCAGACCAAAGCGTTCCCCTGCCATCCCATGATGGCCAAGAGTCACACGTCACGGACTCATAAATGCTGGAAACCGAGACGAGACGAGCAGCGAGCCATTTGGCATGTAAATTAGAACCCGGCAAGCGGCAGCCTTGGAGTATGCAATGAAAATTGCACTCAAGTGCCGGACATGCGGCGAATGTGTTGCATGTTGCTCCTGGCAATCAGTCCCTCTTCCCCTCCCCCTCCGGTCATGTGTGAAAAATGGCAACTGTGTCAGCGCGCCCACACACGTCCGCGTCAATTGCATTATTCAGCAAACCAGAACAAAAGCCACTCGCTTTTTAGCTGCTACAAAGAACAGAGGCAGTGGGCCAAACCCTTAATTATGCAAAAGACGCCAACGACCTTGAAGTTGCCAATTGCAGCACACGTAATTAAAGACGAAAACGCAAGTCAAAGAATGGGAATGGATTGTACATTACAGTGGTAGCAAAAGGAACATGGAGTATGGGTTGTAATTTGAGAAGGAAGGTAACAAGGGATGTATTAAAATAATTAGATCTATAATTAAATAGTAAGGGTAATGTAAGTACTAAAGACTTCTGTATGCAAATTTTGAGTTACCCAAAATAATTATTAAAATACTTGTTTGTTTTATCATATGGAATAAATAAGGCTCAAGGACAAGGCTTTAGTTTTGTAATACATTATATTTCCTAAAAAAATTGTAATTGTAGGTCTGAGATATTATTTAATTAAGTACTTTATTAATTGTTAGCCGTAAAAAAAAATTGTTAAAGATAAGAAGGTTTTATAAAGTATTGAACTTTTCGAAATTAATTTCACGATGAATCCAAATAATCTCACGAACAATAAACACAAACTTTCTTAAAATCATATATTTGAAGATTTTCATGATAGATTTTAAGTTACATAAATTCAACAATAACAAGAATGGAAAATACTTGATTGTTTAGTAGAGAATAAAAAATAGAAGTGTGTAAATATAGGTTTGAATACTATAAAATAGGTTAATAATATTAACAAACCCACTATTAAGACCCAATTAACCACTATAATATCCCCTATCAATTCGCAGACCTTTTGGGAAAACACAACGTGTGAAATTTCCCATTGTGTGATCGATAAAATGGCCATGTGAGCGACGGTTAGGGGCGGTATTTCCCTGGGAGGTTGACAGTGTGCGGTGTCGTCGCGTCCTTGAAGGCAAATTTACGACAAAATAAACAACTTGGCGGCGGTGGCAGACCGTTGCCGGAGCTGGGTCCTTGTCGATAAGGATAAGGATTCGCTTTGCGCTCTCGCTTGGCGCGCAATTTTATGACAGAGCACCAGCTATCGACGGCAGACAAAGGACAAATTGCCTATAAAATGGCCAAGTCAATAAATGAAAAAAAAAAAATAATATCGCACAATGTGTGACCGAGATACAGGATACATATGCAGCAGGCTCACACTCACACACACATATATACATGTCCTGCAAATCCTGTATGCTACACATAAATTGAAATTTTCGCAAAACGAAATTTGCGTGGAAAATGATGCGCTGAGCTCGAGCTTTTCAGTATTTGCGCAAAGTCTTTGGCTTTGGCTAATCCCGTTCTTTGCATTGAGCTTTTCCACCAAATTCTTTACTTTTCGTCCTTTCTATTTTCTTTTTTTGTTGCTCAACTTTGCCTATTTTCGTATCTCTACATCAATTTGCAAGAGCAGGACATGGCGGAGAAGAGAAAATCAGCACAGCATTTTCTTTTGGGAGAAGAGCAGCAAAGAAAGCACTTGGAAAAATCTGATCAACTTTAGAAACGAGGGAAAAATGCAATTAATTAGCAAAAAATATGGAAAGTTAATTATAATTAGTTAAACGATTTCTATAGCATTTTATATATATACCAATAAATTTCATATCTTTTATTAAAATGGTTCTATAAATACTCTATGAAGTATTTAATTCGGGGGATCTATCAAAAATATATAATAAACTAAGTTAAAATCTTGGATTGAATATTATTAGAAAGCTTAGGAAATATTTATAAATATATTTCTCAATATTTATCCAATATAAATTTCAATTTTCATGGTTTTCCCCAGTGTTACCCAGCACTTTTCCCTCTAATATTATTTCTTGTGTTTCGCTCTTTTTTCGGGGTTGTTTATGTTTTGCTTCGCTCTTTCGCTGTCACTCCTTCCCCTTTGTTTCTTCTTTCTTTCTATTTATTTTATTTTATTTGCACTGTTTTCATTTTCTTTTTTGTGTTGAGGTAGGATTGGAAATTAAGAGCTACTCACCTTAGACGGGACATCCTTGCGTGTCCTTTCCCTTGACATTGCTCCGAGCTCCAGTTTAGCGTTAAGTTATTTAAGTTAATTATTTATTGGGTTTTTACTGTTGTATACATTTAATAATATTTATTACATTTTGTCTTGAACACTTTGTCTTTATCACTTTGCTTGTCTGTCTGTCTGTCCCTTTGGCTGCAACAGGCAAGAACTATAAGATATCTAGATAAATGTGGGGTCTTAACTATATATCCAGCGGCTAAGTCAGCTCTTTTTCGGCTCGATAAGCTGGTCTTTTTGCCCAGGTAATAAATCAATCAAATAATATTTTAATGCATGCATTTGGTGGGTGTGTGGTTTATTGTAAATTTAAATGGATTCGGTTTTTGATAAGATAATTTTGCGGGGCTTTGCGGCGCGGAGGAAAGATATATATTTTAATTTATGATTTCATGTTGCGAGTGTACGTTTTGTTTTGTATTTGTTCTATATTTTTGCGGTCAAACATTTTCCAAGGCTTTTCACGCACACGTGCTGGCGACGCGTCGCTTTTCCAATTTTCCGGGACACATGCAACTCTCGGAGCTCGCTTTTACTTGTTGGCTTTTCCGCGGCTGCTGCTGCTGCTTCTGCTTAGCCTTCAACACGCATACAGAGACACACGGATACACGGATACACGCACAGGACCTCTCACAAACACATGTGCGCAGGTGTGTGCCTTGATTTTTCAATTAGAGTCTCGCTGGTAATTTGCACGGTTTAATTGATTTCGCTCCATTTTCCTTTTTTTTAAATTGTTTGTGGGACAAAGCCAAACAAACAACAGCAAAGAAAAACGGGGGCTGAACAAACTTTTATTTTTTCCTTTCTTCTTTAGTTTATTTGGCCAGCGGAAAATTGTGTTTGCCGTGGGTGTGTGTGCTTGTGTTGTGTGTTAAAGTCTGAGTGTGTGTGTGTGTTTGTGGACTTCCACCGTTTCCAACAACAACAACCGCTGATTCTCCCGATGCGTGCGTAGGTGCGACGCGCTCACTGTCTAACTGGCAACTGCTTTTCCGCTTTTCCCACATTTTCTTTGCTGCTGCTAACGCCCCGAGAACTTGGCCAACAGAGAGAGAGCCCGAGAGCCTGAGAGAGCGCCCCTTTTTAGCTGGAAAGCCGCAACAACAAGCAACAGGAAAGAGCGCAAGCTTTCGCCTACTTTTCGGGCCAAGCTCAGCCGCCAGCTGAAAGCTCTGCGACGCACATGGCATCCGAGTTTGTTTATATTTGTGGCAGGTAAAAATAGCACTGCATATTTTTAGGCACCGCCGCCAAGAGTCCCGCCACTGCGCATGCACTGGGAGTGCTCAGGCTGAAAGCCTGGCTAAAACAATTAGTTTATGTACATTTTCCCAGGGTTAAACTAATTATTATTGGGGATTTAAAAGTTTTTTTGTTTTACTATTTTATTTTGTTCACAGAAAAAATAAGATCATAAAAATAAAAGATATTTAATGTGATACCTTTTCAGAAAATGTGTTACAAATTTATCATTCAATATTTAGTTCATTTTTTTAAATAAAAGAAATGAAAAAATGTACAAATATTAAAAAGTGAACTTTTTGATGAATTCGGACCCATTAGTTCATTTATAAATTATCCCAACCACTCATAAATGAATTGAACGATAAATTCATCTTTTAACTCTCATAAAATTCACTCATGAACTAACAGGAATTTGCTCATGCATACACCGATGAATTAATTACCCCAACATCTCAACCTGTTAAAATGTTATTATTTTATTTATTATTATCGTGTTTAATTATTACAATTGCTTTATTTTGTAATTAGTCATTAGAATTATTATATAATCTTTAATTATTTACAATTTCAAAAAGTTGGTATTTGGTGCAAAAGTTTATTCCTATTGGTTTAGTTTACCAAATTTTTGTATCTATAAAAAATTAACTTCTGATATTATTACCTAAACGCTGGGTCATTTTTCGATTATGTTGTAACAGTAATTTCGATGGGAGCTGATATATCTTTGATATTGAATCTCTGAGCCCTCAATCCTCGCCGACGCTTGGCTCTGGATCGTTTACATTCGGCGAGAGCTCGTCCATTTGCTGCTGATCGGCCAGGGAATGCCTGAGAGGATAAAGCTTTTCCATGTGATCGATGAAAGGACGAATGACCTCCGGATTCTTCATGTATTTGGCAACGCTCAGGATGATAAAGCGATAGATCTGGTGATCGCGATAGGCAGCATTCGGTCGACGCTTTTGAGGGGGTCTAAGAACATAGGAGTAAGAAATTAATTAGAAAATTAATTAAATTTAAATGGTAAGTGGAAAGTAGTCTATTTCCATACCGATTCTCGGCATGCTGAATCACTCGACGACGTCGCATGGTCTCCGTCCGGCGGCAGCGTTCACGGTATGCATAATAGCAGCACACGGAGATCACCAGCAAGGCAATGGAGTAGATGAGCCAGCTCCAGCTGAGGACACTATTTGGGGAATAGAATACCATTTATTATTATATCAGCATATATGTGCACTATTTCCCCCCTCCTACGTCACGAATGTTGCATTCAAATCCTTCCAGATGGGCGATATCTGCTCGAGATGATGCTCCTTCACCACGTTCCTCCAGAATGCAAACAGCATTGTCGGTCGACTAAGTCCGGAATAAATTTTGAAGTACAACAAAGGTGGAGAGGTTTATATTTGTCCCTGCCTGTAGTTACAATTTTTCTGTCTTTTGTGTATATCAAACTATGAGTTTTGAATGAAAGATTGCTGTTTTCGTTTCTGTTTATGTTTCTATATTAACTATGTACTTACTTTTATTTTCTCTGGAATTCAGATACCTCAGCAATCATTTAATCAGTTTTATTTTAATCATAACTCAAAGCCATGCTAAGCATGATCAATGTCTCATCATTAGTGGCTGCTTATCCTTAGCAACCTGGAAGTTACGGCTTAATAAGGCCTCAAGGTCGAGAATAGTGCGATCTACGATAGATTGCTTACTCGGCTCATCATTTGATTATTTCAAGTTTGCCAGTTTTCCAATGTATTAGCTTTTGTTTGTACAATTTGTACGATTTGCCATGGCAATTCGTGCGCTTCCGCCAACGAGCGCGCGCCTCTCGGAAAAGCGTGATCATATAAATTATGGCGTTTCCGGGGGGAGGTTGTCGGGGCTGCTTTTGACAGTGTCAAAAGAACATTTCAGTGAATTTGCTTGGAAAATTTTGTGCCATTCGCTTGACACATTCGCTGGCAATTTATGGTCGCAGCCAGAAATTCCTCACCGGGTTGCTGCCCCTGCCAAGTAAGACTGCACACATTGCCCCAAATTGAGGCATGATCTGGCGACCCAGCCCCGGGTCTGACTCCGATTCCAATTTCAATTCGAAAAGCCAATCCAAACCCCAACCCAGATGCAAGGCATGGATAATGCCTGACAGGGCGCAAAGTTACGATTTTACCAAGAATCAAACAATTTTGCTGACACACCGATGCCATCAGATGAAGTGCAATTCGAGTGTTGAATTTGTGGCAGATTTTATAGGAGAATAAAAGAGACATTCGCAACTAAGTTTTAATTTGTTAATTGTTATATTTTTTAGGAATTGGATCAGATTAGAATTAGATCATTTAACGTGTCTTAAATTCAATATATTTTCAATAGGCGAAATTAGTGAAAGAGTAGACAAGGGCTAAGGAATAATTAGGGAAATGATAATAGTCAAGTATTTGGTTTTTATTACCATAATAATACTATGGATCTCATCAAATTTAAACTATATTTTAAATTATATACATATGTTCTATAATTTTTTAAGTTGATTATTTATAAATTTGTTAGACTATCACATTTATTTTATAAACATTATCAAATATACAACCTTTGCAGTACATAATATTTATTATCATTTTATTATGATATAGTTTATACATTTTATTATAGTCTCATTTTCAGGGGCATACATTTTTTATGGGCTACTCTGTTTTATAGATTTTATCTCTTATACGATAATATATTTATGGGGCATCTTTTCTTACTCTTTATTAAGCTATATTGTCTATGGTTAAATCGATTTCATATATACACCCACCTGACCTATTAAACAAATATATAATTTAGCTGCTTGTCGCTTGTCAAACGGTTGTTAAATTATTTATTACCAATAAAAATTATCAAGATCAATAAATATAAATTTTAGAACATGTGTGAAATGGTTTTCTTATAATAAATATGTCTTTGAGAAATATAATAAGATTAAAAAGGCAACGTACTAAACAGGGTAGTATAGATTTTAACATCTTATAGTTTTACTTTATGAAGACTAACTAGTTTTTTACTAGGCACTGACTTACATTTCTTAGGCTTGATAATTTATATATTTTTGTTTCAAAAACATACTAATAGCATGCATTTTCCGAGACCCCATTAAACTAGATTGTCTATACCTTAATCGATTCCACGATCCCACCCACCTGAGTCATTAAAGAAGATACAATTTGGTTGCATCTTCTTGGAGCCTCATCAAACGGCTGTCAAATTACCTAAACACTCCATGAAAAGACGCTGCAACCGATCGATGATGATGATGATGGAAGCGATAATGACGATGATGACGATCGACGAAGATCGAGACCCACACAAAATGCTAATGAATTGTTATCAGTTAATTGTCTGAGCGGGGTTCCTGGCCTTTGTTATCAGCTTTTATGCTTTATTTGAATACGATTTGGGAACACTGCGTGGGTGTTCCCTTAAGATCCCCAAAGTCCCCACTCAAGTGGCAACTAATAGCCCAATAAATTGCGATACACGCCACAGAGGCAACCCAAAGCCAGACTCTGTCACAAATAATAAAAATAATAACAAAAAAAAAGAGAAGATCGGACCCTTGGGCCGCTAAGCGAACTGTCAATGGCTGGCACATTGTTCGATTTATGACCAGGTTTGTGTTTTTTTTTTTTACCTTAGCCAGGGAATGTGCAACCAGTTTATGGGATACTCCGCCGAATGCCTTAGACTGGGATCTCTGTCTGAATGTCTCAGAGCGCAGGCGCAAATCCTTTTGACATGTCCAATGTGCTCAGCTCCCGGGCAGCTATTCCACGGACTATGCCTAATAGTATAAGGTAAATGCACTTGAAAGAAATGGGTGATCTTGTTAAATAAATTATTTAGAAAGTATTTAAGAAAAATTAACCAATTCATGTGGGAAATATGATATTTTGGTACTTATATTACCTAAATTTTAGCCATATTTCTAGACAAATGACATAGACTTTCTGACATTCTTCGAGTGTTTCTGACAGTAGCACTCTTATGATGACAACGACAGATCCAGCACCCGATATGGTCATATGAAGAAGGGCTGCCAACAAGTTCTGAGTTCTCCCTCCTCCGTTCCCCATTCTTCCCTCCTCTGGATTCGGATTCGGCTTCGTCTTGGGATTGGGATATTCTCCAGGCGAAAGATCAACGGAGCGGAGCACTAAACTGGCTGTGGGCTACCGTGGCGTCGAGTAAATATTTAACTTAACAACTTGCCACCATCCGCTGAAGAAGAGGCAACAAAGACAACACAGTAGCGGCCAGAACAACACAGCAGTGGCAACATTAACTAAAAAACAATAACAACAACAACATGCAGACCATAAAAAGCACAAACCGCAAACTTGGAATAGTTTGGACCCAGACAGAGAGAGAGAGGGAGAGAGAGGAGATGTGACGTTCGCGTATAAACAAAACAGCTGTAGTAATGCACTCAAACATCAGGCAACGACCAGGCGAGGGCAAATACAGCTTACCTGCTGCTCCTCACATCCCCCTCAACCGCCGCCCACCACCCACCAACTGCAGCCCCAGCAAAGCTCCCTCTCGCCCACTCCAGCCCCGCAGGGATCACAGTTGCATCGAACAAAGGAAGCCAACTTGTTCCCCAATCAGTCCAATTTTGTATGAACGAACCAGCGAATGGGCACCGAACATGGGCTTCAACTGGTCTGACAGAGATGTTGGTTTGGCTTTATAAAGTTTGGGGATACCTCATATTAAATAAATTAAAAATAAATAAAAAAGAAATATAAATATTTTATTACATGTAGGCCTATCAAAAATAAGATAAAACCTAGCAAGAACTTTTTTTGTCGTGGAGAAAACTCAGAATTTTTTTGTAGTTAGAGATACGTATTTTTTAGAAGTATTTCAGAGTATTTAATTCACTTTTTTTAACTTTAAATTTACTTCATCATATAACTCATGTTACTCATATATACATCTGAATATATAGAAATAAAATATATTAAGCTTTCCTTTTCTATATATCTATTAAATTAATAAATAATGTCGTATTGATATTATTTAATAATGATTATTATCTATTTATTTATTTGTACAAGATAAGTATCTTCCATTCAAAAAACATTTTATCTTATTAGCACATTGTTAAAGCGTCATCAGTTAGCTTAAGATAACCGAAATATGAATAATAAATTATGAACTTCCGTCATAAACAATAACATAAACAAACATTTTGCCGAATCTGTGTCATTGTGAATTTATTATACCTTTATTATATTATTTGTTTACGGAAATAAAGCTTCAGAAATTACAGAGGGAAGTTTAAACAAGTAAAAGTAAATAAAAACCTATTTTGACAATTTAGTAATTAATCCTTACTTTTGGCTATGTGTTAATATATCACAATACTTAAAAATTTAATTATTTTTACTTTTCAGATAGTTTTACAGGCACAACTCTTAGAGATCTTCCAGTTTGGACAGCACTGGCTACGTCGCACTATGGGGCGATCGACCATATTTTGAGAAACTAATAAATATATTTAAAAACGAAGTTATTTTTTGAGTAAGTATTTTTAAGGTAAGGTTAGTAATTTAAAAATATTTTTTTAGAGAAATTTCGAAAAAGCTCACTTATATACAAATATCACAAATAAGAATAAAACCCCTATAACATAACATGTAACAAGATTTATAATTTATGATATATGATTTATGATATCATGTAATGTTACATTATTGATATTGCTTGAATACATTCCGGTTTCAAAAACTTTCATTTAACAACTTAAAAAACATGGGTTTTGGCCAGAAAAAGTGGTCGTTGGCCCCACAGTCCAGCGATCGTTAACTGGACTTTCGGTTTCGGCCGGGCACTTTTCAGTTCGTCTCGGGACTTCTAAGTGATCGGTTTGGTTCATGTTAGCTCCGCCGCGGCAGTCAGAAAAATAAATCTCGAGTCTCGAAAATCTCAGCGAGTTTTTTTCCCGATCACTTGGCACACGGAAGCGGCTAACGCAGAATCCACAGAGGAAACACACAGCTACTATATTCCTCCATAATTGCTTATAAATATATTTCTTAAAAGCCCTCCCCATTCACGGTTTTGTATTTAAGTGATTATAAAAAAAAGAATACCCAAGTGCCGCATATCTGTTTAATGTCAGCGCGAAAACTCAATTCAATTTATGGTTTGTGATTGCAAATTTGACATAATTGTGTTTTGATTTATTTGTGTACGCCTCGTGCCTTGAGCATCTTAAAGTCTGCCGAATAATCTGGCCACGATTATCGCGAAATAATACCAGGGAATCTCCGTCACCCTCCCTAAAGCCGATACACCACCCGAGTGTAAGTCGCATGCAAATATTGTTAATTAATTGCAATTATTTATGAATTGAATGTGTGTCAAGCGACGCGCGACATTTCCTAGTGCATTAATCTTGCTCAAAATCGCACACCCCAACCAAGGTGGGCAGTGGGGGGATCCTGTCTTGGGAGTTGCATGTCACTTATGGACGTAATTTGCATTTTGCGGTGCGGCTAACTAAGTTGTGTCTACCTTTATGTCTTTTACTGGATAACCCCAACTATACAATGCCATAAATGGATTAGGAATTGATTATGGTGGGAACCCAAAGCGGATAAAGCCATGTTCTTTGATAAAGTAAGAAAAATTAGTTCTTAATTAGTAAATCATGTCGGAGAAAAGAATGCTAATGAATGGAAAAGGGGTTTTTAAATAAATTAATATTAGTGATGCATTTTAAATAAAGTCTTCATTAGTGTAGCATTTATTTATAACTATGAAACCCATTTAATGGGAAGTCTATAGTGCTTGAACCTAAAATTAAATACAATTTAAATTCTATATTTTGAATACTAATTAGAGCTAGATAAGTATATATCTTGATAAAATATCAAAATATATCAATATCAAAAAACTATATATATATTATTATATAACTAATCTTAAATGTAAAAACTTTTAACTAAAATATATTTGAATAACAGCCATAGGGCTTATTTTGTCGTTGTATCTTATTCAGATAATTTTGTATCTCATAAATTGGGCTTTGGTTTCTTTAACGCAACATTGGAAATATTCTAATTTTGAACGTTTTCCATTTGGATTTTCTTATTTTATTTCTTATTTTTTATTCATAATTTAAACATTTCTGATATAGGAAATAAATCTTCATTAAATATTCTGATTAAACGCCTTAATATTCGCTTACTTTTTCCCATGAATGAATTCTCCATTTAACGAAGAAGGTTTAAGCCCAAGTTTTCTTCCCTAGCCCATTTTACTTGTCAATACCTTAGGTGGATATATGTTAATTCGACCAGTATCTTTGGTATTATCTTCATCACAAATTTGTGTAAAGCTAGTTCAATGGTGTGACAAAAGCGGAAAATGCAACAAATTTGAATAATTTTATTAATAGACAGCCCATTGTTGTGACGCGTCGTTTTGTGAGGTAATTATGCAAGGGCTAATTTATATATATTTAATATTAAATATATGTATGTATATATTTTTGTTGTGTGCAAATGCACACTGCATTTGGACACATATCGCTTGGGGCAGGTGCGCAATCGAATATCGGGTTCCCCTGGGCACGATTCGCCCAAAATGCGATCGTGCCTTCCTGCATATCATAATCTTTCAACAAATATTATTACGGAAAACTCGAGAGGGTGGGGAGAGGGAAGTGGTACGTCACTTGGCGCATGTCCACTGGTTTCTTGTTTTGTTTTCCATTTTGTTTTTTTTTTCTCCTCCTTTTGCTTTGCTAATTAACCAAAGTCATTTGCATAAATTACGCAGCTAACGGTAACTGGGTTTATGTCTTTTGTCTGGGCTTATGTAGCTCCCCCAACAAAGTCTAGGGTCACCACCATGAAGTATAGATTAGGGGGATACCAATGGGGATATATGTATAGACATGGCCATGGGGATATGCAACTAGGAGGCATGGAGTCCGAGGGGGCGTGGCACTGCAGCTGCAAAGCAATTAGCAAAAGACTGGACAAGCGAGCTACGCCGCGTTGCCTTGTTATTCTATTTCCATTTTAGCCTTTTTTGGGTCTTTGCAATTGTTATTGAAGTGAGTTTCGCATTTGAAGTTGAACTTGCTGCAGTTTTGAACTGTGGAAAAAATGCAGGGGATTAGTTAGTAAGCAAAATAAGTAGAGAATTCATTTTTTAATAATTTTTAGGGGTCAAATTGTATACTTTCTTACCCTGAAATTTAATAAGAAAGTTTATTTTAAAGATTTTATCATATCAAATCATATCAATTTTATTATATTAATTTCATCAGTATTAATATAATATTACGGATTATGTAAATACATATAAAACTAGTTTTAAAACTACCTAAAATAAATGTAAAATTATTGCAGGCATTGCTCCTAAAATTCTCAAGTGCGAATTTAGTGAAAAACTTGTTTAGTCAAGAATCTGAAATGTTAAAAATGAAATAAGTTGATAAATACAAATATAAAATAATATTTTCTTAAATACTTAAACGCAAATATAAAAATACATATTTTTTTAAATAGTTGCTGTAATCTTTTTGTCATTTTAGAAATATATTCCAAATGTACGTTATATTTTTAGTATCTAACTCCAATTATACTTTCAGTTTAAATAATATCTCCCGCTTATAATAATATTTAAGTATAGCTTTTCTCTCAGTGTAGCAAAGCAGCCTGGCTATAGTTGCGTTTTTTCGGATGTCAAACTGTCGATGTTGAGCATATTGCATAGTTTTCGCTTTTCATCTCCGAGACTCCGACTTTTGTTAGGAAGTAAACGCGGCAACAAAGGCCGGCAACATTCCTTTAATTGGACTGAAAGTAAAGTGTAAACAAAAAGCTGCTTTCGAACGACCCATGGCCCCACTTGCCGCTTCCCCCTCTGACAGTTTGTTGATCTTGTTAAAAAATAAAAACATTCAGAAAAATACAACAAAAAGTAAAAAAAGAGAGGCAGAGTCAAAAGTAAACGAGATACAAACGCTGGGCAAATGTGTCATGATTTTGCATATTAAAGACAGCGACACACAATATCAACACACGAAATAAAACAGCATGTGAAAGATATATACATATATACTATCAAATCGCCGGTCTATGACACACTATTAACCATTTCGTTAGCCATCAGAGATCTGTCTTGGCTGTCGTGGGAAAACGAAGACGAACCCGTCAACAAGAACAATAAACAAAGCCCAACGGGGGGAGGTCAGTGAATGAAATGTGCAACTCCCTTCAGCACCGCTTCCCCTCTCCCCTACTTTTCATCTTAAATATTTGGCAATCCATCAGATAAGATATATATATTGGATAATACCCGAAAACATTCGGTTATTGAACTCCAGAGCACCGCGTGAAAATTATATCAGTCGCTGGGTGGCTCTTTTTCTTTACCCGGAATTTCGACACTGACAGAAACTGTGAGTCGTAGAGAACTCGAAAATGAGCTGATTTTTTAGAAATAATTTACATTTACTGAGAGCATTATAAATAACTTGAAAATTAGTAATGTATTTAGAAATTTGTACTTTGCTTAAATTAATTGATTGAAACTATTTATTTGGTATGAGAAAAGATATACTTTCTAAAATTATTTAATCAATATATTTATCAATTATTCTTGTCTTAAAGACGAATACTACCTTAATTTTCCCAAGGAACCCGTTTCATTTTAAGGAAATTTTCGATTATATGAAGTTTCTTAGATAGTTTTGCATAGAAATCTTTCACAATTTGTAAGATATCTGCGTAAAAAATCAAAAATTGTCAGAAAAAGTTATTTACTCAATCAAAATTCTTCTCTGTGCAATTTCTCCTCCATTTTTTCCACCCCACTGTGAGTAAGATCGGATATTTAATGCAGTCCAAAATCCAAGATCTAAGGCATTTTGCAGCCCATCCTGGCTGTCGATATAATGTTAATGAAAGCAGTGCTGAAAAGCGTTTGCAACAGCAAACAATAGAAGCAACAAATTGAAAAATACAAATTTGTTTCTCGCTCTTCCATAAAAAAAATGGTGCTGGATGTGCGAGTTTCCAAACAATTTCTCGAATATCTGGGGATCTCCTCGGCAGGCGGCGTTAAGCTCTTAGTTTATCTCTTTATAAGAACTTGAGGAGCGGCCCCGATTACACAAAACATAAATAAAAACGCATGCTAAAGTGGCAGCTGTTTGGAATTGCACAAAACAAAAATGTGAAAAAAAGAATGAGTCGGAGAAAAAAATACGAGCCAGAGAGGCATTTAATTAACATTTAAATGGAGAGTCTGAGGCAAAGTTCTTAATTTAAATTACATTCCAGAAATTCTGCTCAAAAATACATCGAATAATTACCAATTTACACGCCATTGCAGGAAGATAAAAAATCTGAATATTTTGGTAATTCGTGTGCTTTAATTAAGTAATTTGGTAATTGCTGCAGTTTTTAGTCAGTGATGATTAATGGGGAAATGCAAAAAGATTTATTAATAAAAAATGAAGACGCAAGTGTGCCATACCGCCCCGCTTTTTATTAAAGTTTTTCCCCCAGAAAAACCATTTCCTATGACAACCAAAACATGTCAAATGGAAATGAGACATAAGCACTGATTCTATGGAACATGAAGGAAAAGGAAACAGGAGGGATTCGATAAAAAGAAAGTAGTTTAAGTAGAGTATTTATTTATTGCAAAATTTTACATTACATTATTTAAAGGTACACATAAGAATATTTTTATATATAAGATAGATTTTAATTTATTTTGGTCGTTTAACTAAGAATACAATTTTTTGCAAGGAAACAATCAAGATACATATATTTTAAAGAAGGAAGTTTCTGAAATATTTTAGGTTTAATTAATTATAATTATATTATCCGATCAATCTAGAAAGTTACTCACAAGGTATCAGAATAATGTTTGTTGTTTCTTAATATTATTTATAATAATTTATAACTAGACTAGGTTTTAATAAAAATACTAAAATTAATATTGAAGGGGAAATTAGTACACTTCTTTGTATTTAACCATAAAAAATTATTCTGAAACGAAGTATCTTGTTTGTATTATTTTATTCCCGATTTACCCTTTGCTCCGAGTATTATCTTCTTGAATTCTGACTCACTACAAAGACCCATTAAATTTCCTATAAAATTCTAATTGTCGCAATTTAAGACTTCACTGTAATTTCTTCCCTAATTTCTTGATATATATAGCTTCTGTTTTACGCATCTCTAGTGATTCATTGGCCGTAGCTCATGTCTGGGTCAGCTCGCTCAGCTACAGATACAGTCCCAGCCACAGATACAGATACAGATATAGTTTGCGATACAGATACAGATACTCCCACAGAATCCGTGTCTTGTCAGGGTGACAAAAATAAAGTTGACACTTTCCCGACGGGGAACGAACGAAACACGCCTCCATTCCCGCTCCCATTCTCGCCAGTATTTAGCCGGTGATTTATGTGCTGGGAAAACGAATCAATAACATTTAACACACACTAATTTCGAGGCGAGGGAAAAGTGAAATTTATGGCAGCCTTTGCATAAATTCCGAGTAAACTGCAACCGCAACCCTAGAGTTGATTTATAATCAATTCTTAAGACATTGCCCAGCTATTAATTAGAGATATATCAATATATTGCCGCCGATCGGTTGTGGGTAGGAACTCTATACCATATACTATATATATATTATTTGGATTCATCTCCACCTTCGGGTTCAGACGAATGCCGCAGCTATGGGATTTGATTTATCTCCGGACTGACCGTTTTTGGCAATCCCGGCAAGGTCAAGGCGAGTTGTCAACTCCGAGTGACTTTGAAGCAGTTGCCCGGCTTAGATTTCAACGGAATCAAGTTGTTTTTCCCTCTGCTTGGATTTCTTCATCACTCTTTTATATATAGATATATATTGTGTGTGTTTTTTTAAAGTTTATTTCGTTTGTCTGCAGTCTCGATTAAGTTTGCTGTTGTGCGGCGCCCGAAAACCTTTTTACCATTTTTACCATTTTTCGCGTTTTTGCATTTCTTGGAACTTGTGCAGAGTTATGACAACTGGTTGGGGTTTGGTTGTGGTTTTGGGATTGGGATTGGGTCTGGAGTGGAGTCTGAGCTGGACATTTGGCAGTCATTTGAGTGGCAGTCGAGCCCAAGGGGTCCCAGGGTTTCACTTACTAAGCGGCTTAAAACCACACCTGATTGATACTCCCCCTGTGGCTCTTCTGTCTTCTCGAATGTTGCGATGCAACTGGGAAAAAAGGGTCAGTATTGCCACATTTTGACTGCTTACTGCCTCACAATTTCCCAATCTTTCGCTGTTGATTTTTAATTAGCGCAGCAAATGTTAATGACGACTTCAAGTCAAAAGGCTGCTGTCATTTGGACCTATCAAATATATATCTTCGGGCTTTTTCAATTGCAAGTGCAGAGAGAAAAACATTTTGGAGAAAGATTACAAGAAACTAAAAATACATAGCTTTATTTTTTAGACAATTTTTGTGTATCAAAATAATTATAATATATTTTTAAATGTAGCTTTTATTTGATAAGCTTTTAAGTAAGTTACAGAACTCCTTGCTTAATTAAGCTACAGATCATTATGTAAATAATATATTTTATATATCAAATTGAGATATAAATCTGAAAAAATTTATAAGAAAATATATTTAAAGTCTGATGTTTACAGTGTACCATTTTTCGAAATTAAAAAACAGAAGAACACATGTTAGATCCGCTTTAATGAGCAGGGCGGGTGGACTCATAAATTCAAGTTGGAGCAATGAATATTAATAAGCTCACTGAGCAATTGCAATAATTGTTTTTTTATTCCCGATGGGTTAAGGGTTGCTGTATCTCTTTTTTTATGTTTTTATTTCGTATTTTTATGCTGACAAATGAGAGGCTTTTGGCTTTGCAGTGCGTGAAATTTTGAGAAATGACCGAACAAAGCGTAAAATTGATGCATTTCTTGCTTCCGGCTTCGGTTCACTCCACTTTGCTTCCATGTTTTTGGCCGGTTAACTGTTAACGCATTTACTTTTCTTTTTTGTTTTGTTTTTTAACGTGTGATTTATCGGCCAGAACAGCAGCAACAACAACGTCATATAAGAATAATAATCACAGTCACCGTCATCGTCAACAAATTGCCTTTTGTTTCTGGCGTAAAAAATAAATGCAAGCCGTACTTGGAAGTGTTGGCCACTCGACCGTGAAAACCATTCAGCCTCATCGGGTTATATCTATAAATATATATATATTTAGGAAAGGTGCAACAGCTTCCTTGAGTCCTTTTTGAGATGGGAGTATATCCTTTATTTTCACAAACAATTAAAGATTATTTTACTTTACATTTTAGCTTACTGTAGATAGAATTTATGGTAGTAAGAGTATGTAGGAATATGGATTGTAAAGCTAAGTAGTGTATTCCAGTTTCGTGTTGATCCTTTACCCTTGACTCTAGTCTAGTTAATATACTTATGCTACCTTTCAATTACCTGCTGATGGACAGACAGGTCGGCGCTCCACGGGACAAAGGAATCGCTAATGAGGAGCGGTGGATCCGTCTTATTGCTTACATTAAGCGCCGCCTAGGAATTTGAATGAGAACGAAAGTGAATGCATTTGGGAAGGGATTGGGGAATGAAAACAAAACGAGTTCAGCACTTAATAAAGTCCACTTTTATTTCATCTTATTTCCTTGCAGTTCCATCGAGCGAATTGAGATAGCGGGACATGATCATGCTGGGAATTAACTCCTTGAGCTGCTTTTTGCTGCTCTGCTGCACAGTGATGCTAGCATCAGGTGTCCAGAATAGCAGTAGCCTCACTCAGAGCCCAACTTTCAACCAGAACTTGAACAGAACTCATCTGCATCATCATCGAACACATGGCCACAGGACGCGTCATCAGGGAAGTCCTGCAACCACGCCTCAAAGGCAACACCGGAGATCACAACTTGTCCAGTCGGCCAAGTCGGATGTGGAACTGTTGCCCGGGGTCACCATGCAAGAGGTCACCAGACTAAGACGTATTCAGCCACATAATCCCTATAATAGAGTGCAGGGAGCAAGGCGCCTCCATCAGACCAAACCCACATCCGAATGGGATTACAATACCTATAACATCTTGACCAATACCTTTGGACCTCCTCCACCACCCATGCCGTCATCACCGCGATCCGGCAAGGGTGAGGATAACACCCACGATGTGGAGTTCATTGGTGTACAGGATCGACGCAGGGGTTACTCCTTTGTGCCAACTATTGGCAGCACCACCACAGCACCGCCACCGAATCTAAACAGAAGATCTGCCAGTCCGGGTCTGGGCAGCAGCATGGGCACCATTCCACCACTGGTTCCAGCTCGTCGAGGCTATAGCTACACCACCATGGCACCCACCACAGTGTCCACCGGCTTCACCACCGAAGATCCCTTCGAGACGAACACCATCGGGCGGGGCTATCCCACGGACCCCAAGGAGATGGAGCGGTAAGTGGATCATTCTAAAATTAAGTAAGAATGCTTGCCAAATAATTTTCCACGTCATTTAGATGTGTTAGTCATAGCTTTTCTCCTACAGAATATATATTCTTAAATGTGAGGGAAATATTTAAGTTTAAATGAAGAGTTCGCTGCAGGTATTTTTATCATTAACTATACATAGAAAAAAGTAAGCAATAATGAAGAGATCTTCCCTCGATTTAAAATCTGATTAAAACGATAATATATCTTATCTAAAACCACACGATTAACCAGTATAAAAAACAATGCAGAAGATATTATTAACCTTGCAATCTTCAGTTCATTGAGCTATCGAAGAGTAATGGTTTAGGGTCCACACCCCTGGGATAGATGAAGACTCGGGTCTGGCGATCTTTTCAGCGGCATTTTGGGGCGGGGCGTGTCCGATTGCATTTATCAGAGCTGCCCCGCTGGTCGTCGGTTCAAGGTTGCTGCAGTCATAAATAAATACACAGCCGAAAAGGCTTACCTTTGGCCCAAGATCCGAGGCTTATCGGGGCTCACATAAATTATTTAAATATTATGACACGAAGCGCTTTCAATGTCAGCGTTCCAGCAGCAGCATCAGCAGCTGCTAATTTGAAACCAGACCGGACTTTGGCTTTGGAAATTAGCCCCAAGGCCAAGTGGCATTGATTTTTCCAGCACCTCTTCGCCGCGACTTCAATTGTCGTGTTGTGTGTCAATTGCTGAGCACTTGGGCGCGAGACAATTGCAATTGCAGCTGAATCCAAGTATATAGCTTCGATCTCTGGCCAGATATGGCACGTCTTCGCCTTCTGGTTCCACCGATCTGGTATCGATCTGGCCAAGATTGCTGAGATCTGCGTGGCATTGACTCGAAAAGGCAACCCCTTCGTGCCTCGAGTGTCTCTTTGCGTCTCTGCGTCGCTTTAAGGTAATGAACTTTAACGAGTTTTCAATTGCCAAGTGTGCTCTGTTATTTTCTAATTGGAATTAATGTCCGTCTACTTAAGGGCAAAGGCATTTCAATTCCGATTCCAATTCCAATTCCGATTGCAGTACTGCAACTTGATGATCTAGCATCTTGCCACAGGGGCAAACGCTGCGTATGCGCAATATGGGTGGGTAGCCACCAGTGTGTGCGGCATGTTGCAAATTATGACACTTTTTGATTTATGCGGCAACTGCCAAAATCACGCCACAAGGCAAAGTTATCCAGCTAGCATCATCAGTCATGGCACAGTGGGGCAAAAGTGATCAGGAAAACGTAAATTACATCCATTTTTGGGTTAGCTGTCAAAATGGGGAACGTATTTAATTAATAACGCTACAACTTTACGTTTTGAATTTAAAGAAACATGGGGAAATTATATAAATAAGTTAACTAATTATGAGAAAATATAAAAAAATAACAAATATGTTTTCTAAGCCCTATGTTTTAAGTATACAATCCATTAATTCCTTTTAAAATTATAGCGGAGAATGATTAACTAACTAATGCTTTAGCTAAAACATTTTCTAATAAAACTATTTTAATAATATATATCAAGTGCATTATAAGACGCTTATATTTTATAGAGAGATAATACATATTATAAATTATATATTATAAATAATTCTTCAGCATTTTTGTAATATTGAAAATTATTAATTATTGCACAAATATTACTAAATAATACAGTTTGGTAGAAAGTGGTCCTATAAATTTTTTAAATAATTGTATAACGTTTTTCTATGGCTTAGAAGTTTTATTTAATTTATGGAATAAGGTTAAAGTAAATTTCTTCTTTAACATAAAATCTGTGTTTACTACTTTAGCTTCTTAAATTGTTTTCTGTGCATTTTCCCATCAAGATCTTTAATTTTGTGGCATCATTTTCAACTGTTATTACCTCCGTACGTAGGCTGTTGGTGCCTTGCCTAGATATATTCAGATATATATATATATATCTATATCTATATGTATACATATATATTTTTGTTGTTTTGTTTTCTATTTATTTAAGCGTTGCACGTGCATCGCAAAGCAAATGCAACTGCAACTTCAGACTGCAAGTGGCAAGTTGCAACAGAGCGTATGGAAATGACTGCACCGTGCGGATTGGCTTTGCTGCAATATTCACACGCCGCCATCAGCAGATATTCGAGTATATTCATATACCTCAGTGAATATATATATATATATATATATATATATATAGTGTGTTATGCCCCTCTCAGCAGCAATCGAAGCTGGTTAATGGTCGGTGCAGCGATTCAATTGCGGTTGCGCGGACTCGGTGTTAATCACCGTCAAATGCGGATAAAAGTGAAGTTAAGTCGTTTTCCGCTCCTTTGCCCCCATAGGCCATGGAAATTACGCTTTTAATTATCCAAATGTTGCAACTCAACGCCAAAACAGCATTTGTACCATTCCAAAAATTTGCTCTACAGCGGCCTTTTTAACCAGTGTTTTGGCTTCTGTTTGATAAACTCAATTTATGTCTGCAGTGTGCATGTTTTGCATTTTCCGTCCGACACTTGATTGATGTCTGTTGCTTTTTTTATTTGTGGTAACTCTTATTGATTGACTTTTGATTTGCGATTGCCGTTGCGCCACCGATCGGTAGCTGATGAATTAATTATGGATTCCGGGACTCTGGTTACTTGGATTTTCTTGTAGGTGTCGATACGGGGCGGCTGCTGTGGTGGGCGTTGCCGCTTAAATGCCACTTGCCACTCGGCAACGAGTATCTGTATCTAGCAGATATCTGCAAATGGCCTGGCACAAGAAAAATCGAAAACAAAGCAGGGCCTTGACTTCAATCAGCCGCAGCAATAAAAGCCAAAAAGCAACACAATTGGCAAATGCACAATCAAATGAGACAAGAGCCCCGGCGCAGAGTTATGTGCACTTTGAGCAGCTCTATGACCCCAGACAGAGATTCAGGGTGCACTGTGAGAAAAATGTGGCATTAAATTGGGTTCTTAAATATTTGAGGAATTTGAGTCGGGAAATGAATTACTAATTGTTAAAGTCGAGGAAGAATTTTCTTTGGGATTTATATGATATAATGTTATATAATTATTATGATATCTTTATATAAATTTATTTATTTATTGTTAGTCAAGTACGATTTTTTTTCACAATTTATGTATTAATTTTATATTCGTAGATATAATGATGTCCTTTATTGATATTCTTTTAGGTTATATAAAGTTATCTATATATTTTGATAGAGTGAATTATTAAATAATTTTTATATTATCGTTTCTGAATTTATTACTTATGATTTTTGATCCGAAACCTTCTATACATTTCTATATTGAAAATAGCTATTTATACTTCTAGAAGTATAAGGAAAAAATGTATGATTTGCTATGGATCTATTATAATTTAATTATTAACAATAATTTGACTGTTATCATATAGTTGACATTGCTTTGCTAATGTTATTTCTACATATTTTCTTATCATTGAAAGGGTCTGCTGCTTTTGTTCTTTCTTGGACTCTAAATATGTAGTTTTTTCCATTCTTTCCATTAAATATTTCTTAGAATTCTATTAGGATATAGACAAATATCTATAATATACCTAAACACTTATCGACCTTCCTATTGTCTAAAGAATTTGACCGAATAACATGATCTCACCTTTCTTCTTGACTAAGATGATAAGACAAGCGAAATACAAATTAAATCGATTAATCTAGATACTGCGTTTTGGCCTATCTATAGGCCAACTCACTCTCACTTCTACGAATTTTTAAGTATTCTTTGAGGTATAAAAGGGTGCAGTTTAGGTGGAAACCACAACAGTAATTGCAAAATGTTTACCAAGTACGGTGGAGTTTTGGCCATTTTTGGCTTGATTTACCTAAGCGGAGTGCAAGGAGATGGTGAGATCCTTTCCCTAACTTTACATTTTCCTTAATCCTTTTGTTTCCCCTTTTAGTGACTTCAAAAAATAAGAATTTTATATATGTGGGAGACAGTCTCTTCTACATTGAGGAGAATGTGTGGAAGAACTGGTTCCAAGCCCGGGCATTTTGCGAGAATTTGGGCTACAATTTACTTTCGCTTGATAGCTTGGAGAAGTATAATGTAATTAACCGATTTCTGGACGATAGAGGATCAAATGGCAGTTTTTGGTGTTCAGGAAATGACTTTATGAATTTGGGGCAACATACTTGGTTCCCAAGTGGCATGCTAGTTGATTCAGATCTTTGGTATCCCTCTCAGCCGGATAATGAAAAGGGAGAGCAACATTGCGATGAATTCAGATATAATTATACTCATCTACTGAATGATGATAATTGCAACTTTCAGAAAAACTTTATTTGCGAACGTTCTTTGACGCCTCCAAGCCTCTGATTTTCCTGAAGATTATCTACTTTTATAATCAAATTCTATTGCAATAAAATTTTCAACAATTTCTAATTATTGAAAAATATGTGATGTATGTTTTATATATATTTTTCCCAGTGCCAGTCTTAGACACAATCGCAGCTGGATGCGAAGTCAGGGCTCGAGTTCGCCGCCTGCAAATTGCTTGTCAACAATCGACGACTCCAACCTCCAAGTCGGAACTGTTGGCTCCAAGCTCCAGGTCTGCGTTTGAGCCTGGTTCTGCGATAATTATGGCCAGGCCAAGGGGGATTTTGGGGGGCGAGTGACGAATGATTTGATATGCTGGGCTTGGAAAAACAGCACTTAGAATGCGGCTGGGTCTTGTGAAAATTCGTTAACATTTTGCACCGTGAAGTATTGTGCTCAATGGCTACGCCTACGCGTGCTCAGCTAAAGAAAAAATACAAAATAATAAACGAAAAGAAAGAGTTGTAGACTCTAAGCTCTGAGCTCTGAGCTGGAGCTGAAACTGGGCTTATCTGGAGTCCAAGTCATGCCATCGGGGCAATGGAAACCTTGGCCCAGGCAGAAGCTCGTTTAATGAGTTTTTCTTTTGGGATCCGTGAGGGAATCCAACTTGTTATGCCCACCAACTTGTACACGTGCTCATCGGA